TGAAGGCTCTAGAATCCCCTAGGCTTGACTAGAAATCTCTAAAAGTAAAAAGCCCATGAAACCTCTAGCCTTCGGTCTCCTTTTGCAACACTATTTAAGTGGGTTGTGACATTCTCCCTCATCTAATTGTGCAACGTCCTCGGGGCACTATATGTTCCATTGTGCGATTCAGTTGCTCATGCCCTACTAGTGTCTCAGCTTGTTCTCATATATCCTCAGACTCTGGCAAGCCTCTCCACTTGACTATGTACTTGGCCCATCGTACTTCTTTGGCAAGGTTAGTGATACGATCACCTCTAACCTCCTTTGGTACGTGTCTAAGGTTAAGTGTTGCTTTCATGGTGGCCAATACTACTCTTGCCTTGTGCCTAAATCGTTGCCTTGCTCCGTTGTTGATGCATGTCGTTCATAAAGACTAATAAAGCTTAGGAATGGCAACGGGGTGGGGATTATATCCCCCGTCCTGATCCCAATCTTGGAATGAATCCCCGTCCTTGACCCCAATCCTTGTTGGGGGTAAAAGTTGTCCTCCATCCCCGATCCCCGACAGGGATGGGTTCCCTACAGGGACCCGAATCTCAAAAATTGTTTAGTTAACAATATTTTTGAAAAATAAATAAAAATTTTAAAATTTAAATAATATTTTAAATATATTTTTTATATATATAAATAATATCATATATATATATAATAACATATACTTAATATGAATAATATTTAATACATATAATCGAGTCAGGGCGGGGCTTGGTCCATTGATGCTTCTTAGACTTTCCGGTACTCTTCTTCTTGCTTTGTTTTACCCTTGGGACGTCCAATACCTCAAAGGTTACATCCTTCTCGTTTCCAGCTATCTACCTTGTTAGTAGAGGTAGTAAAGGCTCTGATACCACTTGTCACACGCCTAGTCTCCTTCCTAGCCACATGTGGCCTTGCAATTGAATTCTTTGCTTCCACAAATCAGTTTAATTCCTTGAGCACTCTCTTTGGCTTTTGGACTAAGTGGCCCACTCATAACTTTCACACAAAAGAAAAGCTAAAAGACTTAAGAGACAAAGGAACTTACAAGGGTTTAGCTCAAAAGCTCTCTTTATTAACTCAATCATAAGGGTACAAGATTCACTCTTAGACACCTTACTTACTTTCTTAAGGGGACTCTTTGGATGATTTTGCAAAATGGGGGAGGGGGTACTATTTATAGGCACTCCCACTTCCTTTGGGGTGTAATCCTAACTGTTCATTTTCCACCTCCTTACCTAGCCATTGGATTGCACCTCTTTATCCTACCCATACATTTACACCTCCTCATATCAACCACATGTTCCACCTCCTCAAGTGGAATCTTTTAGGCATCTTTCTAGAATATTCCCTCTTTAGATATTTAGAAAGAAGCCTGGCATATTCTAACTCAAGACTATTCTACACCATTCTACATAATACAAGAAAACTCAAAATGACTAGAAAGTTTTATACATATAGAACTCCATACACTTGAAGATGGCTTTACAAGGCTCTAAAATCCCTCTTAACTAGAAATTTCTAGAAAGCCGATGAAACCTCTAGCCTCCGTTCTCCTTTCGCAGCACTATTCATGTAGGTCGTTACACTATGCTATACTAGGTGTTTGGTTTAATGGATGACTACTTTTAATCAAAGTGGGCAAGCTTGTGGATCCTTAGCTTTTCCTTGATTCAACAAATCATACATAATCATCTAAAGAATATCTTTACTCAGCCAAGGCATGGAAAATAAGATACAATCCCTAGGTAATGCATAGTTTTCCAATTCCTACATGACACCCACTACTTCACCTAATAAAATTGGCTGAATCTTCCTGAACAGCTAGATTAGAGACTAGATATGGGTCTTAAGAGTGTGAGAGGAGATCTAAACTTCATTCATTAGTTATCCATTAAAGATTTCCTCATTTTCTGGTCCTCATACCATGTGAAGTGGTAAAGCTTTGATCTATTAACTCCTACAAAGGATATGAGATTATACACAACTACTTTCTCATGGGTTTTTGAGGTTCTAATTTCTATCTATTCAAGTGAAAAACTTTTTACTTGAAACAGATGTCAAAAACCATTCTTTTATTTTATTTTATTTTAAAGTAAAATAAGCAAAACATAATAGAACATGGAAATTTAAATAGTAGGACACAACGATTTTAGGAGATACAAACATAAACATATGTACCATTCTGGGATAATGAAATATATAAAAAAGAAAAGAAGAATAGAATAATTAAAAAAAAAATGAAGCATGAAATAGAAACGCGAGACAACGAGATCTCTAAAAAAGCAAAATAGAATAGAAAATAATATAAAATGGATCAAACTAAGAACTGAAAAATAATATATGAACATTAAAAAAAATAGACTATATTTTGCCTGTGTGAGATGATTTTAGGGAATAATAGAACTAGCTTGTAGAGAGCAAATCAGGTGGGACAATGAGATATGGGAAAAAACCAACAACATTAGAGTCTAGAGGAGGTCACCCATTGGTGAAGAAGAAGAAGAAAAACTTACCAATAGATTTAAGGCAAGTTAAATCGAATATCTAACTATTTGAGCTTGGCTTGACAGAAAAATATGAGGTTCAAGTTTGGGCTCCAACTTGATTTGAGGTAGAAACATGAACTCTAAATCGGCTTGGCTCAAAAGCTCATATATTCCAATAGGGTGAGCATTGTTCGGTTAAAACCGAAAAACCAAACCAAAATTTTCTGTTTTGTTTTTTTTTTTTGGTTTGGTTAATTTGGTTTTAAAAAATTTCGGTTCGGTTTTTAGGATTGGAAATTCAGTTAACCAAAAAAACCAAATTAACTGAAATTTATTATATACATAATATAATATATATTATTAATATGTAAAACATAATATATTATAATATGTATATAATATATATTATATAAAATATTAAAATATATAAAATACATTAACATATACACATATTATAATATATATAAATATATAATATATAATATGTATTAGTATAATATTAATACAATTTGGTTTTAACCAAAAAATTCGATTTCGGTTTTATATTTTATAAATTCAATTTATTTGGTTTGGTTTTTAATCAAATAAACTAAATTCTCATCCCTATATTCCAACATTGAATATATATAAAAATTATACATATAAATAATAAATTCTTATTATAGTATAAAAAATTAAAGATTATATAATATAAATTTAGTTAAGTTTACAAGCTTTATAAACCTTAACTTTATTAAATTCAAGCTCCACTCGTTTAATAAATTAGGCTCGAATTTGACTAAAAGGTTAGAGCGAGCGAATTTTTCACAGAGAACTCCAATAATTGATCCATTAGTATCCACTGTCAAAGTGTCTACCCCTAGTCCTATATTATCATGATAGGTATGATAGGAATTCTTTCTTGGTGGCCCATCATCCCTTTGATCTTACCATGATAGACCGTCTATTCGGCAGTTTGAAGTCTGAACGAGTTCACATAAGCGCCCCACAAGAGGGTTGGGAGAATCCGATGATAGTCCAGGAAACGAATGATGAATTGGCGAGGCATCATCGTCAACTTATTTGATAATTTCAATACACAGTTGGATGTGTGCTATTGAGCAATGTGAGGCGCTTACGTGAACTCAGTTTTATCCTACTCAATTGCTGCTTCTGCTCCTTGAATCCTCGGAAAACAGATGAGAAAAGCAAAGATAAAGCACATCGTTGCCTGAACCCAAAACTAACGTTTCCAACCCAACGTATTCTGCAGTAACTTTCTTTTTCAGGATATAGCGGCCTTCGATCCGAGGGTCCAAAACGAAACCTATACGGAAGTGGTACGGTAATCAACCCAGATGAATCACGTGATTGCTTGGCAGTTGAGATTTCCGAGTTCCAAGTACCATCAATTCATTCAAATCGGGGACAGAGTCAGGGAGGGCCTCAGGAGTCAGGACCGAGAAATATCTGCTACGCCAACGGGCGTAGCCTTGGACTAAGGCCGTGAATCACATAACGTCGAATTGGAAGAAGTGACGTTAAGATGGAATCAAAAAATACATACAAGGCTGTGATTTTACGGTTTTAGCCCAAGTCTACGCCATCCGGCGTAGAGGATTTTCCCTCCCTTCGGACAAATGCTTGAGCCGTTGAGCGTGTTTGTGAAATAGTGAACGTGTGAACACTCGATGCAGCATGGCGACGACGACGACAACCTGATTACCAAGTCAAAGGATCTCTCTCTCGTCGTTACACGCGCTTTGTATGGCCCTGATCATCTGACGTCTGACGTTGTACCCTTCATCCAAGAACTTAGATTTTGCCGCGTGGACAAATTTCCTTTTACACTTTTAACGTTCCAACCGTGGACTTTGAATTTATTCAGTCTAGTCAAATCATCTCTGGTTATCTCTGTTTCTGTCAGACAAGTCTCAATAGCGTATATCTACATTTACAAAATGTCCATAGTACCCTTTATAGTTATAAACAGAGAAAAAAATACGAATGCTGCGGTATTGAATTACAAATACACAGAACTTATCTGTTTCAAACATGACATTCTAGCCTTCTAGGGTTTATTATCTGAAGATATTCCTAATATACAGCGGGAATATGCTGTAAGACGTTGTGGGGCGCAGTCTTGTGGGGCTGATTTGAACTCGAGAGGATTGCATGTTAAATCCTGGCCCTTGGGGCTTTGGCCCACGTTCTGGTCCTGTGGAACTCGTGGAGAGTAAAGTTTTTAGAAAGGATCATTTGCCACGTGGAAAACCCACCACGTAACTCGTGTCAAAAGGATCTTTGAAACGTGGCAAGGCCGCTTTTTTACAACCCGATCACGTTGATGTCAAAAGAATCAGCAGAGATATCTACGTGGCAAGGCGGCATTGTTACATCTAGAAGATTAGATGGAAAAAATGGATAAATACAGAAAATTTGATCCAGGGGCAATATGGCAAAATGGTCGAATTGCGGGGTAGCATTTGAGATTTGACGTCGGACACCAAAACCAATGGCGGGCGGGACTCCACTCACCCCACTCTCGCGTAAAATATGAAATGAAAGTATGAAACTGAAGAAAATACAACCATCACTGTCTCTGTTGATTTGTTCATTGAATTCAAAATTGAAAATCCATTTGAATTGAATTGGTAACGCTCAGATAAACAGGTATTGTTGAACACAATTAGGATTAAGCATAGCGATCTTTTGACGCTCTCCTCCAAAATCCATCCTTCGATTTGTGTACCACCGTCTCTGACCATCTTCTCGACTGTAATTTTAATTCTTTTTCTTCAGGGTTTTCCATTTTCCGTTCTATTTCGAATCTTATCTCATAATCTCTCCAGGGTTTTGGTTTCATCAGTTTTTCTCTTCTTCGTCTTATGTTCCATTTCCTTGCGAATTCTCTCTTTTCAGTTGTCTCTTGTCATTGATACTTGGGTAAATTTTACCCTGTTGGAGGCAGTAGGAGCTGGATATATATTCTTTTGTTCATCTTATAACGGTTTTATCGTATTTGATAGGGGTTTTAGGTTGATTTGGTGATTTCATAGACTTTCTGTAGTTAAAATTCTGTTTGGCGCAATGGGAGGTGTCTGTTCGGGTGGAACCCCGAACGGTGGTTCAAAGATTCTGGCGAAGAATTCAGGAAATTCTACGAAGGTAAGGACGATGAGTAGCTTCGACAAGCAGAAAAAGGGTTATTTTTCGTTTTCCGATATGGACGTTTATGAGAAGGCCCCGCTGAAATACGACTCTGGTGAGCTTGCATTATCCTCCTCAGGCAAATTGAAGCCGTCGCCAATAAGGACAGGTGCTAGCAAGGTAAGTTCCTAAGGACTTTATATTCTTTATTCTTAAATTTAAACTTATTTCAATTCCTATTCTGAGTTTAGTAATGGATATATTTTTTAATCAATGTTTTATTTGCATTAAGAATAGATGGGGAAATTCCATTAGTTAATATTGTTCTCAGGAAAATTTCTGGTGCCGTAATGGAGGCAATATCAGTATTGTACTGGCTGTTTTTCACATGCATTTTACAAGGTGCTTTTTTCAATCATACGTCTAGAGTTTGCCATAGAAATTTCTAATGGAATTATCTGTTTGGAAGTAGCTATAGATCCCTGAGTCTTTTATAGGTTTCCGGTTTGCATGCAGCATGCCGACATTCCTAGTAAACTTATTTTGATCCAATCAAAGATGATGATAACTCTGATTACTGGAAAGCCTTCCGAAATCAAGAGATTAAATGTGGTCTTGAATATTGCCTCTTTCTGAAGCATCCGGACCTGATGGTCCTTTCAATCCTGTTTCATCAACACACTTTTTCACATAGCAGTTGATGTTGCAACCCAAGATGGCTTGAATTGGTTCTACGTCTCACCCTTTTCGATATTGCAAGGATGACAGAAACATGGCTAATCCAAAAGGTCCCTTGCTAGGGGGATGGTTTGGACCTGGTAGATCAGGTGTCCAGGTAGCAGAAAACCCCTCTGTAACTGCAGGCTTCAAAGTCAGACTTATTTTTGAAGAGTATTACTTTTGCTTTTTCTAATCTTAAAATTCCTGATATTCTTTATCATAGTATTTAAAACATAAAAAAGAACTCCCTCACTCACTAAACTCAATCAAACATTAAAATTCCACTTCTTGATAGAAAAATGCAGAAACTTTCCTAACTATTTTACAGATTTAGTGAATATAACTTCCTGATGCAGGAGCCAAAGAGCCAAATATGGAATTTTCTGAAAATTTACGTATTTTTGTATTTTATTTGGGGTATTTTGGTCAATTTATATGTTGTCTGTGGGGTCTAGTATTTTGATTTATCTAGTCATAGTTGCATTTCTATAATTTTCATTTTTCCTAGTTCTAGTAGGAGTGCAGGACTGGCCACCCCTATGGTGTCTATATACATATATAAAGTGCAAATGGGGATATGATGAATGAATAAGGTTGATTTGAGATTTTACAGCCATAAGTTCATCAAAAGACATCCATTCAAATTCAGTGTTCTCAAAGGACTCACTGATTTAGGTGAGTTTTCCTTTAATTTATCAAAACCTGAAAATTTCCCATTTTCGCCATTTTTATCTTTTTGTGTCAAACTGTATCTGACCTCCTATATCTGAACACCTTCATATATCCTTATCTTTTATCCCTCCAAATATCATTAAAAAAATTCCACCTAGAACCCTAGGTTCCATAGATTTTGAGCTTCCTCCCAGTCCCAAATTTTTTGTCCTTTTATGCCAAATGTACTCCAAACCTAACTAATCTTAGTCACCCTCTACAATTATCCATTCTAACCCTATCTATGAATGTTCACTACAAAAGTTCCTATCTAGATCTATTGAAGTTTTTTCATCATCTTGGGATATGTTGTGTTGGTGCCTTGAATTCTAGTTGTGATCCATTCCATGACCTGCTCCGAGTCAAGTTGAGAAAAAATCCGAAGGCAAAATTTCATAGTAAGCTATGGTGGAGAAGAGGGCTTGGACTGTTAGGCTCAAGCCTGTAGCCCACCACTGACCACCACTGGGAGTGCGGGGGCTCCACCAGTAGTATGGACTCGACCCACTAGGCTGTTTCTTGTATACCTCATTGTATCTTGCGCAGGAAACTATCTTGTATCTTAAGCACCAAGAAAAGAGAGTGTGGGAGTGTGTGAGACACAATGAGAGAGGGTTCTTCGGTTGTATTGGGATATAGGGTTTGGTGAGAGAGGCTGTATACACTGTGAATGTAACCTCTACTGTTGATAGTGGATTTCTTCTCCTTTGATGCCTGTGGACATGGGCTATAAGACGAACCATTTCCCATTTCTTCTCCTTTTACACTGTGAGTGTAACCTCTACTGTTGATAGTGGATTTCTTCTCCTTGTCTTCTTTGTTGTTCCTCTTCTTTCTTCTGTTCCATTTGTTTATCTTGCTATCTTGGATGGTTCAAGCCCTACAAACTTTGGTTCCTGGGTTTATGGTTTTGGGACATCAGTTGGAACTTGGGAGCTGAAATTTGGTGTCTTACATGAGACTAGCAGTGCAATTCCATATATTATTTGGGAACCACACAGGGTTTTGCATCCAAAAGTGGGAATCACAGTACAGGATAAACCCGTCCTAACCCACCTAAAATCATCTTATGGTCATTCAAGTCCTACATCACTTTTGCTACAATACCATCATGAGAATTATGAATGATAGAGTTTTTCCTTTTACCCGAAATTAATTTTCAATGTTACAAGCCTTGCCTTAGTGGATATCAGTAACAGTATTCTGATTGTTGACAAGGGAATTCTCTAATTGAAATGGAGAAAAGGAGAATCTGGATGGTTGTGTTAACCTTATTTTCAACTTGAGTTTACCTTCATCAAGTGCACTCTAGATTTTGGTTTTGTGATCAATAGGTGGATAGAAATAGAAACGAAATCAAATAGGTCCCGCATTGGATAATATAGAGCTAAATAATGGTCTAGATCAGTAATGCATATTGACACCATGTGACTTTATGTTACTTTTTTGTTGATTTATGTACACATGTTGCATATCTTTTGTTCTGGAATGGTATCAGCAGCAAAGGATCAGTCCATCAAAATCTGCTGAGGATTACCCCCTAGCATACCTTTTTCTGCTAAAGCCCTTGTTAGAAGCTCTTCAACTATCAACAGTAATCAAATCACTTTTAAGCCCAGATGCCAGGTTATTAACCATCAAGTAGTAAATAAACCACTTGCATGCCTAGCTGATGGTCTATTCTTTGTAAAGTTGCCATGAAGTGTTATTTTACCATTATACTTATTCTGGATTTATTTGAAGTGGTCATTCATTACTGTGGGTTCAAACCATTTGGCAAAGCATGATAATTTATTGTGCTGAAGAAGACACCAATTGCTTTAATATATCATATTTCAGTCAAGACACAAGGAACATGGAACATTTGATTCTAATCATCTGATAGTTGAATGTAAGGGCCAAATTTTCCTGCATTACATAATTATCCAATAATACTTTAACACAAGTATGAAAACAAGGTAAACATTATACTAGGAGATTCCGGCGCTCTTTGGGTAGAGTGTGGCAATATGATAGAAATATCATCTATAGATGTTGAAATACTTTCCATTCTTTAAGATTAGGTAAACAAAATGATTTGAAGTTAATTAAACATTGAAATATGCCTCAGTTCATTATTTAAGGTGGGGAGAATGGTATATATAGTCACACCAAAATGCCCTTGATAACATAATCTGCAATAGATACTGTTTTGGTAAAGTTCTTGATGTTGCAATTGCAACAAAATGCTCATGCTTGTATAATTAGGACCATTCAAACACCAGGCTCAATAAGGAATATTTCTTTGGCATTTGGCTATAGACTATTGCTTCTCTGAAGTGTGTGGTGTTTGTGCAGTAGTAACATATACATGTTACATAGAACAAGAATAGATGATATGCTTTTGAAGTGTGCTTCATGATTTTTATCATGTTAGAAAAATGAATATTTTATTGTCTTCGGAATACACGGTCATGGCTTGTTATCGAAATTCAATATCTTTCTAGCATATGCACTTATGTAGGATAACCTTTGAGTTCACTTATTGCAGGTGCCACAGGTGGGCTCAATTTTGGGAAGGGCTGGTATTGTTGGCCTAGAGAAGGCTGTGGATGTCCTAGATACACTTGGAAGTAGCATGTCAAATTTGAACCCCACAGGGGGATTTGTTTCTGGGATGGCTTCACGAAGGAATAAAATATCTATTCTAGCATTTGAAGTAGCTAATACAATTGTTAAAGGAGCCAATTTATTGAGATCTCTTTCTGGGGAAAATGTCAAGTTCTTGAAAAAGGAGATTTTATACTCCGAAGGAGTACAACAATTAGTATCTACAGATATGGAAGAATTGCTGAGAATTGCTGCCACTGACCAAAGGTTTCTATAGACTTTAGTGTGATTTCAGTGCTTGATCTACATCTCAGATTTTCTTGTATTGTGTGCTTGCAGGGCTACTGTTCTAGGGCTGAATTGAGTTGTAAAAATTTACTATGAAATTATATGTTGAAAATCCTCCCTTAAAAAAATCTGTGGGAAAACCCCATTGACCTAAATACATCCTATATCAAAAGGGGAGAAACTGGATTGTTCTCCACAAAAATTTCTGGATGCTATAACCTAAAGACCTTTCAACAGAAACTACTATTATCAGATGCTATTAATGAAAAAGAGAGTAAAAAAATAGGCACATGATTAGTCCATGACAAGGTACCCACAAATTTGCAATTTCCAAACCTTCTTGATGGTCATCTATTAAATGTAATATCTTCTGAATATTAGGAAGATTGGGCAAAAGATGCATCTGTCCCAATCAGTTTGGCCCAAAAGATTGTCATAAATGTTTGTGCTTAACTTCAAGGAGATTGATTTCTTTTCATCTCCCTGGATTTTTTTATGCACAATGTCTCCCTCTTTCTCTCTCTCTCTCTCTCTCCCTAATTTCTTTTCTCACTTTTACAGGGAAGAGTTTGACATTTTCTCCAGAGAAGTAGTTAGATTTGGGGACCTTTGTAAAGATCCTCAATGGCACAACTTAAGTCGTCATTTTCAAAAGTAAGGTAGATACTTTATAGTGCTTTAAAAGTCACATTTCATGTATCTGGTATTTACTGACATAGCAAACATATTTCTTGAAATTCTTGTTTGATGTTTCAGATTGGATTCAGATATTACAACACACGGAGAGGAGGTAGAAATTACAATGCAAGAACTTTCAACCTTGGCTCAGCATACAGCTGTAAGTTATTATTATGGCCTTAGTGGATGATGATTCATTTGTGTGTGTTGCTTGACAATTTTCTTTGTTGGACACATATGTTCTCATATAGTATAGTTTATTGAAAATTGCATTGATATTTGGACAGCCATTAACTTAACCTTTTGGAGATCCCCTTGCATGTACAAAATTTTATGCATACCTTATTATTGCAAACGATTTTCTATTCTGTGATTTAGATATGATGGATATGTTTTCCTGGGAGTTGTTTATGTCATTTGTGTCCCCGTTCTGCAACTATAAGTATAGCTCTCTTGACTTTATTTTATGTTTTTTTATATCTTTCAAATAGTCTCTGGTTAATGGAAGTGGTATCTAAGAGCCTTCTAAAACTATCACCTTTAGGTTGTGTTTGGTTTGAAAGAAAAGGTAGGAAAAGGAAGGGAAAGGCAGGGAAATCTGTACAGACCTTGTATAGGTTTCCCTACCTTTCCTTTCAAACCAAAAACAGCCTTAAAGAAACTTTAGAAAAAGGGTTTTCTTAATTTGGTTACTGCAACAATAAAGGTGGGGTTCCTGCAGAATTTTTTTTCTTTCTCCTGCAGGTTTCTATATCAGTCTTTCAGATTTGTGTATATAATCATAGACTTGGTTCATTATGAGCATCATGGGCATTTGGCAACTTGGCCCCATTTGGTGTTGATTGAGTGATTCACAATAGCCTATAGGTAGTTATCCAGCCTACAGTATGCTGCACATTAATCAACATCCCAACACTCATCATGATGGAAAATTAAGTCTTTTTTGAGAATTTTCTAGATACTTATAAGAATGACACTTTGAACAATCCATTAGTTGGAAAATTCAATAAAGTTTGAGTAGAATCAAATGGTTCAAATTAATCCAATTACTCCTGCCTGAGGAAACTCCTTCGGAAATCCATAAAAAATTGGCATGATTTACCAGTTAGGCATTTGGTTTCACTTGGAATTAGCTTATTGTCTTCACTTCTGAAAGTAAAACACAAACAAATTATTTTTCCTACATGCATGGGAAGGATATTTTTCCACTGGTTATGCTAAAAAGGAGAATGAGAAGAGGAAACATAATATTCTAGTATATTTATATAAGCATTTTGCATTGTACTGTTGTGTTTTATTCTTCTAAAGAGGATTTTCAATTTTTAGAAAATACCAACTTATTTAATCCTGTAACTTCTTGTTTAAAAATTCTCATTTGTCTGGGTGTCAAATGAGCTGATCTTGTAACTTTAATTTGCTATGACAATGCTTTGCTTTTATCTATTTCAGATGGGAAACTTTTGGTTGCTAAATTTGATTATAAATGAAAGGTTTAATATTTAGAGAACACTTTTTTTTAAGAGTTGGCTTCTTCAATTGTTGGAAAGTACTTGTTTTCCTGGTGTTCTTTTTAAGTCAGGAAATGGAACAAGTTATTTTATATTAGATGATTTTCAATGGTGTAGGGACATAATCATTAATGTGATACCTATTTAGGTTTTCCACATTTTTTATGACATTCCTTACAAGCTAATGGAATCATAACGTTTTTTTCATGATTATGCATAACTTCTATGTTTTTATCAGTTATGCCTTAACTTCTATAGAAGTTAGTAACATTGTTCTGTTTTGAGGAGCTAACTCATTTTACACATGTAGGAATTGTACCATGAATTTCATGCATTGGACAGATTTGAACAAGATTATCGGCGGAAGCTCGAGGAAGTAGACTCCTTACATCTCCCTCGAAGAGGTTAAAACACATTCAGTTATTTTTGATATCATAATTTCTCAAGATGTGTATGAAAATTGCTGACTGGATATGGTGCTTATGAGTAATCAAGTTCTATTCGTTGAATAAAAGATCAAAATATTTTGTGAAGGGATTCACACACGTTTGCTAAGATTTTCTTTAATTTAGAGTCAGTAGTATCAGAATAACTGCATAAGATTTGAGCATGTACCTACTTAATACAGAGCAAGACTTTAACTATTCTACTAATAACTTCTTAGAGAAAAACAGCATGTACTTTCACTTTTTTTTTGTAATAGTTTATCATTATGAGAAAAAAAAAGCATGTTGGACTAGTGTTCCTTAGTAATTGGATACTTCATTTTATTATTGTCAAATCTAGAGGTGCCAAAGTATTACATTAGGGAATATGAAGGAGAAAAAATCCCATGCTTTTTTATTATTATTTTTTTGATGATGGGCGGAGTAGGGTCTAGGAATGGAAATGGGGCAGGTTCCGGGCAGGGACCGTACTTCCCATCCCCGATCCCAACTATGACACAAATCCCCATCCTCGACTAGTCGACCCCGATCCCTGTCAGGCATAAAAGTGACCCTCCATCCCCAATCCCTAAGGAGATGGGTTCCTTGTTGGGTACCCAAAATCCCGAAATTTTTAATTAAAAGCTTTTTGGAAAATAGATTTATTTAAGATAAAGGAAAATTTAAAAAATATATAAATAATAATTTAAATATATTTTGATATATAATATAAATAATATTATATGTATAATTTTAATATATATAATCAGGGTCGGGGAAGCTAGGTACCCAACCAGGATAGGGAAAATTTCCATCCCTAGTAGGGTCCTACTAATTTATGATATGGTGGCAGGCTTTGTGGGGTGAATGAGGGGCTGCGGGGGTGATTAGAGATGAAGAATATGGAGGGAAAAGCAAGTAGTTTCTTGTTGTGCACCAAAGAATGAGTAAGAAATTAGAAGAAAGAGGGGGAGAACAGGAAAGAGATAGATCACTTGGAAGAAGAAATAGAGGGGGGGTGGGGGTGGGAGAAAAACTTCTGGTAACAACTAGAAATCACTAAACCAATGACTCTAATTACAATGACTCTATCTAACTCTAATTACAACAACTAGAAATGACTCTTATTTAACTCTAAGTACAATAATTCTATTGATAGACTCAATTTGTTAACTTGGATGTCCCCTTTCAAACTCCAATTTGAACTAGGAAATTGACCCAAGACAACTCCTATTACTTTTGAACTAAGACAAATCCATAACTAACCCATTAAGACACTTAATCAAGGTCTCCAATTCCTAAACAACTCTAATAACACTTTCCTAATCCAACTAAAGCTACTTTGATTTAAAGACATCAGAAATTACTTAACAAAGTAAGCTGCAAGTTCACTAACAATAGTAATTACGAGAATTACTATCGTGAGTTACTATAAATAGTATTTTCAGAATAACAAGAACTAAGTAGACCCCACTTTTAGTTTTCACCAATTCTTCTCCTGTAAATTTCCTTTAATATGAGAATGAGGCCAAAATCCTTTTTCAAACCATTTCTTCCTTTTCTTCAAATCTGTTAGCTTCTTTTTGGGTTTTCAAAGAGGCTCAAACTGATCCAACCAAGTCCCTGCTGCTGCATCATTTTCTTTTCTGGGAAGGGGAATGGTGGGCAGTCGGTTACTACATAGATAAATGTTGATACCTATATGGGCACTAGACACGCTTGGACATCCTTGCTGTTAAATGCTTGCTATATGGTTACAATTATAAAAAAAAATGCAAGAAGAATCAAGAAACCAAAGAATGTATGTGTACTCTTCTCATGGTGTTCTTTTTGATCAAAATGTTTACACCTTGCATGAGGAATACCGGTTTCTTATTAGTTCAAGGTTTTCATGTTCTTATAATGTGTTTGATTTCTTTTTCTGCTTCAATCATGCTAGTTTTAATTATGCTCATCCTCTTCATTCACTAGGTCAACCAAAAGCTATTTATTTATGGAATCCTTTTGCATATGGTATTGGGTATCCTCTTCATTCACTAGGTCAACTAAAAGGCCATTTGATTGTTTTTGTAGGAGAGAGTGTCATGATAATACAGAGTGAGCTCAAACACCAAAGAAAGCTTGTGAGGAGCTTGAAAAAGAAATCTCTCTGGTCAAAAAATTTGGAAGAGGTATATGATATATGAACCAATTGTTGCCACTTATTTTAAAAGTACATTATAGTATTTTGAGAAATTTTCAAACAAAAACATTCTCTGTGCATTTGTTATTTTCTTGGTAAGCTGTTTTCTGCTTCATACAAGCCCCTACTTATTATTAGAATATGGTGAAGAATTTCTTCAGAATTTTGCTACTACTATATGGCATGTAATCTGGCAGGGTGTAGTTTATGATAGTAAAAAAGTTAATCATTTCTTCTTCTAGGTCATGGAAAAGCTTGTTGATATTGTCACCTTCATATATCAAGCGATAGTGGAGGCCTTTGGAAATAAAGGTACATACTTGTGAACAATTGATCATTCTTCCATACATGAATTTGATAAAATGCTAAAGCCATGTATGCTTTTATTCACTAATTATCTTTTAATATTTATAATTGCTGAATCCAAGATTATCATGCATCATATGTGTCTCATCATAGAGGTTTTTTCTTCTTGTCATGAAACCGGATTAGAGGAAACTGACCTCAATCCAGCTTGGTTGATAATTGAATTGCCTATGTTTGAAGAGCCAGTTGGACCAATGTAAAGTGCCTAGGTGGCTAGGTCATGCACTTTTTTGTAACCCAACCTATGAACTTCCTAGGTTTTCTAATAATGCCTTACTATTTGGTTGGGTTTGTAGAAGTCCCATTTGTAGCTTCTTAAATCCAGGAGTAATCTCCATTACTGCAGTTCCAAAGAAGATTTCACTTCCTGTGGAAATACCTAATCCGTTATGAGATATGGCAGGAATAGGGGTGGATAGCAAGGATCCAATTCATAGCCCTCAAAGACTTGGTGCATCTGGTCTTGCATTACACTATGCGAGCATCATCAGTCAGATAGATAGTATTGTAAGTACAATAGCTTCTTATTCCAATATTTGGTGTAGTATGAGGGATGGCATCTATATGCATGCTAGTTATAACATGTACTGTAATAGCATTGTAGAAATTTAAGAGGTCTTGATAAGCAATGGCATTTTCTGCCCAAACTTTACATTCTCATATATATAGTTACTTGTCAAGGAAAAAAGAAATCCTATGTCACTTGACATGAAATCCTTTTGGAATGCAAACATTACAAGGTTTTGATAAGCAATGGCATTTTCTGCCCAAACCTTACATTCTCATATTACTTATCAAGGAAAAAAGAAAACTTACAATGACATATAGTTTTAATCTTACATTAAATACACACACACACCGCTTAAATGCAGTGGTTTAAACATTAAAACCCAGCCTGAAGCTTGAACCATTCTCCCCTCCTGGTCAACGGGTCAGTGATTCAACCATCTGTGTCAATGGGTCAATGTGTAATACCATCATAAAAGTTAAAAAAAAATCAATAAAATAATAAAAAAATCCGGTAACCTGCTGAACATGTCAGGCAGTTCAACTGCCTAGGCCACGGGTTGTTGAGTAAGTCAATGGGTTTTTTGTAAAATAGTGGTTGGAGGTTGACCCAAATATGTATTGTGACTGGGTCACCATTTGTGATGACTCAGTTACAATTTGTGGTGACCCAAACATGTATTGTGGCTGGGTCACTTAAACGTTCACAATTTGTGGTGCTCAAAATGAAACCTAACTGGATTGCAACATTTGCAATGTCCCATCAAACTTTAGTATGTTTCAACTCTTTTCACATAAATACATTCAAGACATGGAAAGAATTCAAAATTTCATTTTACATGAAAACCTTTGCAAAATTATTGTGCATTCATGAGAGAGATAGTTAATAGTTTTGTTACAAAATATTGAAATATGTTTGGCTACTTGTTTCTGTTGCATGCACTACTCTGGATTTGGTTTATTTTACTTACAAAAATAGAAAAAAGGCCATTACCCAATTTTGGTCTCAGCTATTTGGGGTCTTGGGAGGGTTGAGACTGGATACGGTCCGAAACTTTGGCAGTTTTTTGCACAAAGTGGTCCCTCTTAGACTTGAACCCATGTTCTCACACTTGCCAGCCAGACATTTTACCATTACACCAAGCAATGGCGCCTATTAAAAAATAGAAGAAGACATGTAGTATAAAAAATTTTGAGGAACAAAATAAAGCCAACCAATTTATTCTTGGTTGGCCTAAAAGAAAACAAGGCCATTATCCAGTGTTAGTCCTAGCTCTCTGGAGTCTTGGGAGGGGTGGACTGGATATGGACTTAATTTTTGGCATTTCAGTTGGCCACAAACAAGATATTGGTCCTGTGGAGGTTTGTGCTTTTGCAGTTTGTTTGGGCTTGTGGAAAGAGAGAAACATGAGGATCTTTGTTGGGAGTTCCATTGACCAGTTGAATAATGGGGAATTGATAAAATGAAATGTTAGGTATTGGTTATATCAATTCTTTGTTTTTGTCTAATATTTTATTTTTCTGTTTTCTGACTTTATAAAATACTATATGTCTTGAAAAACATGTTGACCTCAACAATAAGACTAATTCTGCATTGCTTCTGTAAAGTTGTCATTTTTATTGTAAGTATTTACATGATTTAGTGATTAGTTGAATGGTTTCCATGAAAAGCTGAAGGTTTCCTGTTAGTGTTTTAATTCATTTCTTGCATGGAAATGTGTTCTTAGGTTGCACGGCCAAGTGCTCTTCCTCCTAATGTGAGGGATACGTTATATCATGCATTACCAACTGGTGTTAAGACAGCTCTGCGTTCCCGATTGCAATCATTTAATGAGAAGGAAGAGGTATGCTGCATCTAGACAGTCTTTACCTCCCACAAACTAGTTGTTCTTATTTTCATATTTATTGCATATGCATATGATCTTCTGATTCCAGATGCATGTACACATGAGCATCATGCAATGTATTGTACAAATTTCCTTCCCTGGAGAGAAAAGAAATTGTACCTTGACGTATACCTAGTAGTGCTAAATTTTATTTACTGATATCTCTCCATCCAAGTAATACTGATCATTGAACTTGAATCAAGATTTTTCTACTTAATATTAATGGAAATTGAGGATCTCTCTCTCATGTGTTCTCCATTTTCATATTTATCTGCTGTAATACGTATGCTTGCAGTTCACGATTCCCCAGATCAAGGCTGAAATGGAGAAGACCCTGAAGTGGCTTGTACCTCTAGCATCAAATACAACCAGGTGTGTCAATCAAGTGTTCTTTTCATATATCATCTACATGGCCACGCTTTGCATATGATATCTTCTGGAGTCTTGGAGGGGTGGACTCTGGACTAGCTACAGACCTAATCTTTTGGCATTTTTAACCTGAAGTGCATAGTCGCTCTCAAACCTGTGTTCTCTTGCTTGCACAAGTTCTCATTTTATGAACTGCTTCTTATGATTGCTTTCTTTTTGATTATGAATATTGGCATTAGGATGTATTATAATTTATGATCATTGTTTTTTGTCTTGTCCTAACATCCTTTACCGTTCTGTTCATTTTCTGTTTTTGGTTTTATGGCAATTGGAAACAGAGCACATCAAGGTTTTGGCTGGGTTGGAGAATGGGCAAACACTGGGTCAGTCAAGGCTTCCACTCCCTCTCTCTCTCTTTCTCTCTCTCTCTTTGTTTTCAGCACCTAATGATGATAAGCGCCCCCTACCCTTCCTAACTAAGGGCACTAGAAAGACAATGTTGTCATTTTTTATGAACATAACAAAACTTTGCAAGAGTTAGGGATGCAAACGGATTGGATCGGATTCAAACCAGGATATATCCAAATTCAATCCAATAGCATATATGCTACATTCGATTCGATTGGATCTCACAGATGGTGATTTGAATCTGAATCTGCAAAGGACATTGGATATCCGAATCTGATCCGATATGATTTAATTTCTAAAAAATTTAATAAATTATTAGAAGAAAAAACATAACAGTTTATATAAAGAAAAACAAAAAATACATGTATTTTTTCAACTATTTTCATCATTAAGTCTAGAAATTTTCTCTTTTTTTTTTGAATTTTTATTTTTTATTCCATGTCATTTTTGAAATAACCAATGAGATGCTCTCTTTACCCATAAAAAATTACCTAAAATCTCTCTCTCTCTCTCTCTCATTTCAAAGAACCTAAATAATCTCCTCTCCTAAAATTTCTCCTAAGCTACCTTCCTCACTATCCCCACATTCTCCTAAATTATCTCTAATTCGTATTTATCTCCTAAATTATCTCTAATTCCTATTTATCCTCTCCCCCACTTTTTATCTGTATCCATCCAAAAAAGTTTGAATTAAAAATTTTAAGAATTATTTATATATTCTAGCAAAATTATATAATAACTTTAAAATATTTATTAAAAACACAAAAATAATTATAATAGATTTAATAATATTCATATTATTAATAATTTTATACTTTTACAAAATTCATCACAAAATTAAGTACTAACAATATAAATTATGATTTTCCAGATTATTCAATTTAAATGCTATACAAATAATAAAAATCTAACATTAAAAATGAAATATTATTTAAATATTTCAATAACTAAATATCTTAAATAACAAATATTAGAAATATCTAAATACTTATATAACAAAATATTTAAAATTATTTAATATCTTTAAAATAAATAAATTCAAATAACAAAAAAATTAAATATTGTACATATTATTTAAATACTTAAATAACTAAATATTTAACATAACTAGACTTTAAGTCATTAAAATGACAAAATTATGTAATAAATTTTAAAAATTTCTTAAAAGTAGAAAAATAATTATAAAATAATATTAAAATGAATGAATAATTTAATATTTTACAAAATTATAAACGAAATTATGTAATAGTAGTACAAATTATTATTTTACGGGTTATTAAATTCAATAAGTAATTACATATTTTACATATTATTTAATTATTTAAATAAGAAAATAATTTAAATAATGAAATATTTAACATAACTACATTTTAAATAGTTAAAAATAATGAAATTATGTAATAATGGTACAAATTATTATTTTATGGATTATTAAATTCAATAAATAATTAATATTTTAAATTTTAAATAATGGTATTATTTCAATAACTAAATAGTATTGTAAATAACTAATTTCAAACAAAAATTATTTTCAAAAAATCAATATTTATTAATAATTTTAAAATCTTAATCCATATTTAGTATATATTCAGTAACTATTTATTGTTTTTGTGTTAAATATATTTTCAATAATTATGTATAAATCTATTTTTGTTTTGATATTTAACAGAAAATTTTCAATAATTATTGGAGATTAAACTACTTTTATTTAAATTTTTTAATTTAATTTATTGTAATTTTGTTATAATTTATTAATTAGTATTTAATAGAGATTACACTATTTATTGACTAATTTAATATATTTTTTAGTATTTATTGTATTTTTGTAATTATTGTATTTTCATTATCAATATATTATCAGTAATTGTGTATTTTCGCTATAAATTTTCAATAATTATTAGAGATTAAACTATTGTTATTTATTAGAGATTAGACTTTTAATTTAGCTGAAATTAAGAGTGCTCATGGGTTGGTTCGGCTCAGTTGTACGCTATTTGGCCAACCAAATCGACCTAGTTAGGTTGGGGAGTTCGTCACCCAAAACCGACTGATCATTAAAAAAATTACAATGGCATTATGAAAAAATAAATTTAGAAATTAAAGTTTTGATATAAAATATTTTAGGGTAAGAAATATAGGAATTTTCTACTTTCCCGTATTAAAAAAGTATAATATATATGGTCGGGTCATTCAATTTTGGTTGGTTTACTAATGGTCAAAGCGAAATTGATCCAACTTGGTTAGGTTGGAAAATTTTTGAACCAAAGCCAATTGGAAATACAAAAAAACCAACCAACTTGGGTCGAGTTGGTCGGATTGGTCAGTTTCACCAGTTTGATAAACCACCCTAATTGAAATTAATTATTGTTATTTTTGTATTGTAAAAAAATGATTAAAAGTAGTATATAAAATATAAATAATTATTAATTATTTAAACAATAAAAAATATAAAATAATTGTATACTCTTATGTTTGTATTGTTTAGTTTTCGCTTAACAAATCCCGTGCATTGCACCGGTCCCTGCCAGTTTATTAATATATACGTCTTTTTATAAAAAGAGAAATAATTCAATATAAATATATGATCTGGATTCAATCGTATCCTATTATCTGATCGGATCCAGGGATAATCTGAATCCGAGAACAAATAGAATCGGATCCTATTAGAAAAATATATTTCTAATACGAATGAACGTCTCTTTAGTGCCCTAGCTTGCTAGGGAGGATTCTGATTATCAGGAATGTGGTGCTATAAAATCATTCACTTTTTTGTCCTTTCATACGGTATTTACCAGTCTGAAACAAGGTCTAAAATGATAATTGTTCACTGACAGTTGCGAGGTTAACAAGAAGACAGATGCACAAGGTAATCTGATTCGCCTGCAGACACTCTACCATGCAGATAAGCAAAAGACAGAAGAATATATCCTTGAGCTGGTGTCATGGCTTCACCATTTGATTAGCCAAGTAAGACACAGAGACCATGGATTCAAGCCATTCTTTCCTGTTCGTTCCCCAACCCGTAAAGCCCTACTTCTACCGCTGGAGAGCCATCAAGATCTACCCCTGGTCAATAATAAGAAAACCAACAGGATTGTGCAGTTATCTCAAGAAGAGCAGGATATGTTGGAAAGTGTCAGCTGGACAAGGTCGGTTCCTGAAATAAGCAAAAGCCAGGAGTTTTCCACAGTCAAGAAAAAGGGGGTCTGCCGTTGGGGGTCAAGCAAGAGCACTGGTAGCTCTCCAACTAGGGAGTTCGGTGCAACCCAAAACTGGGAGACTAGGACTAATGATATAGATGTAATAGATGGGTTGATTATATAGATCTTGGAGTTTTTTTTTTTTTTTCTTAATTAACCTCCAATATTGCATTTTATTTCATTTCTTCATTTACATTTTTTCAATTCTCTTTTCTATAGTGTATATGATCATCAGTCGACGATTCTGTATCATATAAATATAATATTGATATTTTCATTTCTGCTGGTGTCATGTCTCTAAACGTGTGTCATGTGGAGTAATTCCACCCCTATACTTAAGGTGGGAGATAAAACAACTATTCAATTACTGCTTCAAATTTCTAAATAAGACCATCTTTCATTAACACTAATTTCATAAATTTATCATATCCAAATTAAGATCACTGGAGATAAATCAAAGGAGTATGCATCTATGTGAAAAAATTGGTTTCTAAAACAAATAATATATATTGTTTGTTTTATATGTTTTTAAACCTGCAACTGAAATCTTTTTTTTTTTGAATTTCTGACTTAAAAATATGTTTTGTTTGGCGATTTCATATCATGTTTATCTATACTCCAAAATAGAACATGTTTCATTGCTAATGGTAATTTTAAAAACAAAAACACATTAATGTTGTAAAGCATCTCTAAGTGATTTTTTGCTTTCATTTTAGAACATATTTCATTTTTTTTTGTTTCTATAGTAATTTTAAAAACAAAAATATTCTTGTTCTAAAAGCAATCCTCTTAAATGTTTTTTTTCCCTGTTTGTTGCATTTTAATAGAAATGATCATCATCATCCAATCATTATTCCCAGCCATATGGGGCCAGTTACATGAACCCTGTTTTGCTATTCTGTTTCATAATTTTGTTTGGTGTCATAATCATTGTTAAAATATTAGTGCTTAAATCATTTAATACTAAATTATTGTTTATAAAAAAAAAAATATATCATTTTTTACTACTTCAACCACATGATTTTTGGCCTATTCCTATTCCTAGCTATTTTGTCCCGTTCAAACTTGTAGTATTTCATTTATTCTTGCGGTGTTGAAGATGGTCTTTTAAGTGACCCAAACATCTTAATCTAACTCCTCTCATTTTATCACTTATTGGTGCAACTTAACTTCTAGATGATTTTGAGTGAATTGATCATTTCTAATCATGTCCTATCTACTTTTTTCATTTGTCCGTCTTAACATTTACATTTTACTACACTTTAAATATATTGTTTCTTTTAACAGACCAAAACTCTGCTCCACACAACATTATTTTCTTACCACCATTTTATAAAAATTTTCTTTTGGCTTAACTCATATGCTCTTATCATATTTTAATAGAAAAGATAAAATTATAAAAGAAAAGAATGGTAAATATGTTATTCACCCATTTCTACGGGCTTGCGATTTCTCTATTCAAGCTTGGCTTGTGACCCTAATTGATCTTATATTATAAATAATATTTTTAATTATATATAATAATAACAAATAATTTTTATATATATAATTTTTTTACATGTATAGTTTTTTATTTGGATAAAAGACTTAAACATCCCTTCATTTTTCTCCTAAATACTAAAAACCTCCCCTCATTTTTTAGATTGGACTTAGACCACACTTATTAGGTGACGTCACTAGACAAAAATGTCCCCTCTGTTGACAATCCATGAAGAGGGAAGAGGAAAATCCTAAATACTAAAAACCTCTTTTATTTTTATATGAAGATTAATTTAATGTTGACTGCCGAGCTCAAACCAAAACAAGCTCAAATGTAAGGGTCTTTGTATTGAACTGAATTTGAACTCATGTCTCTAACTTGAATTGAACTTGTGAGCCTAATATTTTTCTGTTAAATTGAGCTTGAATGACCTGATATTCAATTCGACTTGACTTGAATCCACACTTACTCATCGGTAGACTTTTTTTTTTCATTTTTGAAGCCAAAATCACCCATAAATTGCACCATTTCAACCAGATTCGTCGAAAATTAATGTTGAGATGACATGGCTTAACCGAAAATTCTAGGCGTGTTTTATGATGGTTTATCCCTTACCCTCAATATTAACTCTAGGCGTGTAATTTTAGGAGACTCTAAGAACTTGGTTCAACTCTTCTCAGAAAATACTTCTCTTCCTCAGCGTTAATTTGCATTGGATAATCGTTGATTGTATGTAGACTCTCTTTTGTTTACCGAAAAATCGAAACAAAATTTTGGTTTTGGTTTTGGTTTTTTAGTCATTGGTTTGGGCTTGGTTTCTCGTTTCAGATTTAGGGTATAAAATTTTGATATAGCCAAAATAACCGAATAAGAAATTTGGTTCAGTCCTTTCGGTATTTCTTTAATTTGGTTTGCTTTTGGTTTTACCTCTGAGAATTTCAACTAATTTGGTAATTGATGCGGTACCGGGCACTCCTAGCTGGCTGCTGACTGGCTCCTTATTGGCGACGGACGACACCTGAGAAGATGGAGATGAATGATTCCCGAGGATTTTACCCAGTGAGAATACTCCGATGCTTAAGTTAGAACGCAGGGGAAAGAGAAAAGAAGTGTGTGGTAGCTAAGAGTGTAGGTCGCGCTTTTTCACTATGCTTGAGAGATTAGAAGTTTGAAGAAGAAGCTTCTCTTCTGCCTTGAGGGCTTTTATAGGGGCGTTCTTGTCAAGTCGGGCGTAATCGCCACTGAGCCCCTGCCACAGTCGTTACCTGTCAATGCTGCACAGGTGGCCGTTGCAACGTACTCCTTGCCTGGGTGAGTGACACGTCTCCAAAGACCAGGCGCGCCTCCGCCTGCTGAGAGACGTGGGTGCAGACTGTCAAAAGGACAGGGACTGCTCCGTCAGTTAAGGGACGTGGCGCAGTCTGATCGGTACGGCCTGTCAGATGGAAGCTTCCTGAGGAACGCTCGTGTTGCTCATTTGCGAGCTACTTTGTAGCGAGCTCGGAATGCTTCAGGGTTACCCTTAGTAGAATTGGTCCCTGTGATGACTTATCTGCTTGGGGGCTCGGGCGAGCTGGTTTCCCTAGCTCGCGAGCTAAAGTTGCATCGGAATATCCCTTTCGGGGTAGCTTAGGGAACCCGGAGCTCGCATTGTGGCGAGCTCCTTCTTTTGCGAGCTGCTTTATGGGCTCGTTACTTGGCCGTACTAGGCCACGATGTTGAGTTGTTGCTCGTGCTGAGTCAGGTCCACGTGTCACCATTTCGTAGGTCGGGCCAAATCATCCTCCATCAATTGCCCCCCACTCCTCGAGCTGAGAGCGTTGCCTTAGTGCGAGGAGTTTATGAAGTATGATGGACTAATTTGACCGAAATTCAAACTTGATTGACTACTCACATTAAATGTATTCACGAGAATCAGGTGATCTTCTGACTTTTCGAATTCCGAAAATGTGCTGAAGTGGCTCTTAACTCCGGACACCGTGCAGCCGTCATTACCTTAATCATGAAAGACGTGCAGCCAATCGCTTTTGGTTTTCAAAAGGTGTGCGGTTAGTACGTCTGCGAACCGTTGGATTTTCTTTAATCTGGGCCGTTGATTCAGGGACGTGGGGGCTATAAATAGGAGGGCCCTCTGGGTCTCATTTTCCCTCACGCCATCTTGTTGTCTTCGGATTCTGAGGTCACGCATCTGTCAAGTCTACTCAAGTTCCTCAACTCACTTCACCCCATCCTTTCTGGTGAGTTTCAATTACTGTCAGTCATGTTAGGGTATCCGTACCATATTCGTCACTAGGGCAGTGACCAGGACGATGATGCTCCCTCGAGCTCGGGGAGAGCTTGGGAGCAAGTTTCGGGGGCCAGGGAGGCCTCCGGCGAAGGAGCCTCCACCTCCCGGGGAAGGGAGCCCGACACTTTTGGCCCTTCCTCCATGACAGAGGGGAGACTTAGGTCTCTAATTAGTTATTTCCACCTCCCCAAGGACCTCCTCTACTGCCTTCCCACCGGTAACTTTCTTTGGGAGCATGGTCCCAATGAGATAGTCATTTACCAGGAGCAGCTCGAAGCTGGCCTGCGTCTCCCCCTGCACCCCTTGATAGCGGAGGTGCTAAACCACTTTAATGTCACTATCGATCAACTCCATCCCAATGCCACTCGTAACATGGTTGGGACTATATCCTTGTGTTGGGAATACTATCTTCCCTTGAATCTCGATATTTTTTCCGCTATCCTCTGTATAAAGAATGCCACACCCGGGGCTCCACCGGAGAGGCGTCTCTATTACTTCTCTCCCCACTGTGGCTACAAGCTCTTGCATGAGCTCCCAAAAAAGATTCCTGCTTGGAAGTGGGATTATTTTTTGGTCCGCAACCCTGAAGGGTGGCCCTTCCCTACTTCTTGGAGGGGCACCATCCAGGACTCCGGGGTTGAGCTGGACCCCGATACTCAGAAAACGATGCTGTCCTGGGCATTAGTAGGCTTCCTCTGTTCGGACTACTTGACCGAGGAGAAGCTCGTGCAGGCCAGCCTGAGCCCGGGTAGGTTGCCTTTTTAGGTCGCATAGTACTTGTCATAACGTTGTGTTTATATACATATACTTCGTTCTTATTGAACTAACACTTTGTGGTTTCTCCTTGGCAGCCATCATGTCTGGTATCGACTTGCACCGCCTCCTTTCAAGCAACCAGAGGCGTAGAGAGAAGAGGTCGCGCTCCGATCGGACTCCCCCCTCGGGGGGCACCGAGTTCGGATCAGCCGAGCCAGTCTTATCCTCTCCGCCTCCTGAGATTCCACCACCTGAAATCCCGCCACCTCCCCCCGAAGAAGGAGCTAGTGGGGCTGGCTTCGAAGGGGGCGAGCTCCCACGACAGGGGGTGACTCCCCGTAATCCTCTCCAGCCATTCCCTTATCCGCGGTTCCCAATGGGGAACTGGGAGGGGGTGAATGATTACGTCGTGGCATGACGGAAGAGCCGGAGGGCGATCTGTAACGACGAGATCACCAAGTGGGGGGAAATGAAGCCCGAGGACCACGTCACATTTGCCTCCTCTCACTGCATGGTGGTAAGTGATTCTTTCCTTTCTTCTCTCGTTTTGCTTCCTTTTGCTGTCCTCTGATCCTCCTTTTGTTGGCAGGTGAATACTGCCATCCATGCTATGGCCCTCCAGATGCGCATCCACCGTGGCGACGCCATCGACCAGCGGGCTACCAATCAGAAGCTCCAGGGCGAGCTCGACCGGACTCGGGGTGAGCTCCATCACACTCGCAAGGGGAGTGAATCTCAGGAG